TGCATGGCACAGTGACGGTACCTGCTCGATGAGTCGCCATTTAATCCCATTCTTAAATTCTTAATCCGTACGGACTGTACATTAAACATCCAAATAACCTGCAAAAACATGCAAATACGCGGTTCTATGTGGTAAAGATATTAATATGTAGTTACAATGACACATTATGACATTCAAAACATTTTGTAACCATTATTACCAATATTAAAATTATGTTACATTAACCATATAGTGGCGGTGTAAAAATATCCACCATCTCATTAATTAAAAACTCAAATTCAAAATATTTATTGGATAAGTTACGTGTGTTGTATATTATTTGGTGCTAATTTTTATGCCGTGCCGATACACGGGAACTGAAACAGCAGATGGGCATCACATCTGCTGTTTCAGTTCCAATTGAAATGTTACTCAAAATAATAAAAATCTATGGTTGCAAAATATTTAGGAATACTGTCAAAGGTGAAGACTAAGTGTGGCAGCATCGTTTTCGGGACACCTAAGATTTTGAGTGAGATTGAGAGGTTCTATGGGCAGCTGTACACACCATCGTTGGAGCCACACGTAAGTGTGAGTAATGATCCAAGAGCAAGTCTTATTCCGATGATATACCGAACGTCAGTCTGAGCGCATTAGAATGGCTCTCCAGCACCTTAAAAACGGCAAGTCCCCGGGCGAGGATGGAATTACAGCGGAGCTTCTGAAAGCGGGTTGAAAAACGGTACTACAAGTCTTTCAGAAGCTCTTTAATACCATATCCCATGGAGTCACTACTCCCGAGGCGTGGAGCAGAAGTGCGGTGTTCTTGTTGGTGAACATAGACAAAACAAAGATCATGTTTACACCTATGCCCGTAGTTGTTGGGAGCACTAAGCTCGAAGTTGTTGACGAGTACGTTTACCTGGGACAAATAGTCCGACAAGGTAAGTCCAACTTCGGCCGAGAGGTCAATCAACGCATAGCCCTCTCCATAGCTCGCTGAGCGACTTTGAGCGTCCTCATATGGTTAGTGGTGAAGGACCACGTCTCAGTTCCATAGGTCATCACTGGCAACACGCACTGGTTGTACAATTTAGTTTTCAGATTTTGAGGTATACATAACGAAAAGATGTGCCGTAATTTCACGTAAGTTCCCGCTACCCAGCCGAGTTGAATCCGTTGATTGACCTCTCGGCCGAAGTTGGACTTACCTAGTCGGACTATTTGTCCCAGGTAAACGTACTCGTCAACAACTTCGAGCTTAGTGCTCCCAACAACTACGGGCATAGGTGTAAACATGATCTTTGTTTTGTCTATGTTCATCTTTAGACCTATCCGTTGGGAGGCACTACTGAGGTCATTGAGCATAGTGCTTAGGTCTTCCAGCAATTCTGCCATACGAACTATATCGTCGGCAAATCGAAGATGAGTGATGTACTCGCCATTGATGTTAATACCCGTATCCTTTACAGTCCAGTAGCTTGAAAACGTCTTCCAATGCAGCAGTGAAGTTTCGGGGATATAACGTCACCCTGTCTAAAACCTCTCTGCAGTTGGATTTTGGAGTAGGTTTCATACTCTGGTTCTATACTCGGATAGCCATCGTAGCCCTACTGTACAAATACTTCAGCACTACGATATACCGACAATCAACTTGGCACCGCTAAAGAAACTGTAGCACCGCCCAAATTTCAACGGAATTAAAGATTTTCTCATAGTCCACATACGCCAGGCAAAATGCCAGATTTCATCTTCGGACTTCTGTACAATTTGCGGAAGGGTATGTTTGTGGTCTATGGTGCTAAAGCTTTTTCGGAAACCGGCTTGTTCGGGAGGCTGGAAGTCGTTGAGTCTGAGTGCGAGACGATTCATAATGACTCTCGAAAACAGCACGTAGACACGGCTCAGAAGGGATATCGGTCAGGGATGTAGTTTTTCAAGAGAGCGTTGTCACCTCTCTTGAAGAACAAGAACACCGCACTTCTGCTCCACGCCTCGGGAGTAGTGCCTCCATGGGATACGGAATTAAAGAGCTTCTGAAAGACTTCAAGTACCGTTTTTCAACCCGCTTTCAGAAGCTCCACTGTAATTCCATCCTCGCCCGGGGACTTGCCGTTTTTAAGGTGCTGGAGAGCCATTCTAATTGCGCTCAGACTGACGTCCGGTATATCATCGGAATAAGACTTGCTCTTGGATCATTACTCACACTTACGTGTGGCTCCAACGATGGTGTGTACAGCTGCCCATAGAACCTCTCAATCTCACTCAAAATCTTAGGTGTCCCGAAAACGATGCTGCCACACTTAGTCTTCACCTTTGACAGTATTCCTAAATATTTTGCAACCATAGATTTTTATTATTTTGAGTAACATTTCAATTGGAACTGAAACACAGTATTCCCACTCGTGTATCGGCACGGCATAAAAATTGGCACCAAATAATATACAACACACGTAACTTATCCAATAAATATTTTGAATTTGAGTTTTTAATTAATGAGATGGTGGATATTTTTACACCGCCGCTATATGGTTAATGTAACATAATTTAAATATTGGTAATAATGGTTACAAAAAGTTTTGAAGGTCAAAGGATACTACATATTAATATCTTTACCACATAGAACCGCGTATTTGCATGTTTTTGCAGGTTATTTAGATGTTTAATGTACAGTCCGTACGGATTATGAATTTAAGAATGGGATTAAATGGCGACTCATCGAGCAGGTACCGTCACTGTGCCATGCACAGTACCAATAACGAAAAACCGCTAATAACGGTATATCGTTATAACGTTGTACTATTCGGTGAAATTAATGGTAAAACATTTCAAAAGAATTGTAAACACAAGCAGGTATATTAAATTTATTTATATTATGTGGTTATTTATAACACTTATAACCAGCGAACCGTTTTAAATTCGCTTGGATGGGATCTATTAATGTGGCGTTATTTAGACTTATGGTTATCATTAAAGATATTTTTTTTATCTTATCAACATTTGTCATTTAATAATATCTCTGGATCTAGATTCATTAATACAAAAATATTAACAAACAAAATCAATTTGTGGGAATTAGTTATCATTGCTTACAATGACAAGTTGGACTGAAGTTAATGAATGTATAGAAAAACGCATATCGCAGCTTATTTTTTTGCAGTCCTTACCGATGACAATAGATACGACAGTGTGCGAGCAAGGTATACTTATATAACAAATATAGGCGACGCCATTTTTAGTCCCATTCTTTAGCCACACGGTTATTATATATAACCTCAAAAACAAAGACATTATACAAAAATATTATCACAGGTATCTTATAAATCATTTACAGGACTGATAAAAAAAATTCACCTCTGAATCCAAAAGTTCTAAAAAAAATCGTTGATCTGTATCAAATGAAAAAGAAACAGGAAAAAAAGAGCAAGTATACCAATAGATAATGAAGATATCGTCAAACAATAAAAAAAAAAAAAAAAATTATATATACAGCATATAGCGTGTCTGGCAAGGGGTTGCCACGATACTAAATTTCTGGCATTAAAATTACGCTTCATACTTATACACCCCTATTTTATATATTTTACGTGGTAGATATTTTCGATCACGTCTCTGTTTATCGCAAGCAGCTTCAATGGCTCCCCATCCGCCGTCGCCGGAACACTCGAATCTTCTGTCTTCTTTTCAATATTCTACATAATCCTGATACTCCGCTATATATAAAAAATTTACTTTTGTTCATCCTCCAGATGTTCTATGATACTAGAACACTGTTAAGATTTCCGTCTTTCAATACAATACTCAATTCTCATTCTTTTACTGTTAACGCAGTACGATTGTGGAATTCACTTCCCTTTAGGATTCGTGACGCTAAGTCGGTATCTATGTTTAAAAGACTTGTTAAAGAGCACTATCATTCACACCATAATTATTGATTCGTGACGTGTAGGTCATATATGTAACATAATATATTATACCTGTATTCTGTATTTATGTATAAAAAAAAAAAAAATAATATATATATATATATATGTGTGTATATGTATGTATGTGTATATACATGGAGGTTTGTATATTTTTATTTGTATTGTATATGTATATTTTAATAAAATGCACACTTTGACTACCTCTATTTCCTTCAACTATCCTTCAATAGGCCTGCTGGAAGCAATTTGATTATGGAATAAGCAGTGCCTCTGTACATAATTTTGTTTTTACCATTTTCCTATCGAAGTATGTGTGTACATAAACTATTAAATAAATAAATAGAGCCACGCTGTAGCTACACTATGGTTGTAGCATGAATGGGTGGGCTCGACCATAGAAGGACCATGCTTTCACAGAATACCAGCGTTAAATAGCAACTTAATGCTGCTGTGTTTTGTATGGTAAGTGTAGAGAACTGGACAGTCTATTAACTGTAAACGAAGTATTCCATCGTCGTCCTCAGGGGTGACAACGCATCTGCATTTTCAATTTTAATCAAAGATAAATGTAGATGTCTATGAGCCACAGCATTCTTACCATCAGGTGAACTGTGTGCCACATATCAATCCTATAAAAATACTCCTTTGCTACCTATTACCTGTCAAAGTCATGATGTCCAAACTTCATAGTAGACCTTCGTTCCTAGCCATGTTCGGAGCATGCGCTGAGCAAATTTCAGCTTTCATAAAATAAGTAAGGTCTGACATTTACGTACTCTTAGGCTACTGGTGCAGTAGGGCAATTTAATTTAGAATTTATACACATAAGAGAGATAAGACACTTTACAGAGTAAAGACTTTTTATACTTGTCCGTGTAGCGGCGTAAGAGAATCCATTGCTCTATATTTTTCCCGCAGACAGAAAAGGAGAACGGGTATTTGCGAGCTGTTCAAGACACGCTGGTATACCCAACATGACAAATTATGTTGAATGAATATAGGCAAACAAACGCATACAAAAGATAATCCTTTTGAATCTTTTTCTCACAATGATTTACTCGTACCATAACTACATACCTTCATTATTTTTATCAGGTTCCTCTGGGGCTACGATGACAGCATCATCGATACAGCCAAGCCAATTCTGAGTCTCCAAGGAAAATTGAAGTTCGAAAAATTCGGTCTCTTAGTTACTGTAAGTGGGTTGCTGTTGTGAATCAATTCTTCCATTTAAAAACTCTAATAACCATAACAATGATAATATGTCTATTGCTTACATGTTTATTACACAAAATAATAATTTTGCTTTTAAATTACATTTTTTTTTCTCGAATTTATTTACAATAAGATCGACCAATGCGTTGCATATCACTATTTTTTACTTCTCGAATAGATATTTTTTTAAATTATAGGTATGTAATGTCTTGTTGATTAGGTATCCTAAATTAATTTAAAATAAATCTAAGAGTGATTTTTTGGTTATGGCAGGATTATCATTGATGCTATTGTCTTTAATCATCGCTATCTCAACTATATACGAATTCTGTACGTGGTAGAGCTATGCTGCAGTTATATTATGGTTGTAGCAGGAATTAATCGGCTCGATCGGGGATGAACCATACTCTCACAGAATATCAGCGTAAAATAGCTGCTTAATACTGCTGTGTTTCGTATGGTGAGTGTAGAAATCCAGAGACCCCTTTTTACTGGAAACGAGGCATTCCATCTTAGTCCTCAGGGGTGGCAACGCATGTGTGTTTTGGATCTTAATCGAGGATAAGTGTAGATGTCTATAGGCCACAGCATCCACTTACTATCAGGTGGACTGTGTGCTCGTTTGTCACTCTTATACTATTAAAAAATACGTCATTTGCTAAAACTGCCTTATCTATATATGATATCAAACAATAAATGTGTATTTATTTTTTCCATAACTGTTGCCACATCCTTGTTTCAAGGCTGAAAATCTAGGAGCACCCTATTGACCTAGTAAACGAGGCACTAGCGAAATAGTAGAAAAACAAATTGTAGCAGAACTGCGTTTCCATCCCAGTCAAAGCTTAATAGTTTTTGCAAAAAATAAATCTGATACCACTACACGCGATGTCCTTAATAACTTTTATACCAAATAATTTCTCCAAATATTTCCTCTTCAAGTGCTTGTTTGTTTTATAAAAATGAAAGTTAATTTTAACTTCAAAACATTCTATCAGTAGATTAAATTGTACTCTCACGTATTGCACAAGTATTAAGTATTAAAAAGTCAGGGAATAGACTAAAATATAAATTAACTTTCAGAAAAATGGTACGGTATCAGACCGATTGACCATAAACACTGGGGAAATAGAGAAGAACAAAATGAACGTGATAGAAAAATTAGACGGGCAAACTCATCTTCCATACTGGTCGAGCCCTGAATGCAACAGGTATGTTTGTTGATTTAGGTACAATATACTCGTATACATATATTAGTGGTTTTAAACGCAAAATTTATTCTGATCTTGTCTAGGTAGACCTGTCGAGCTCAAAACAAGTATTTTTATGTTCTAAAATAAATATACAGCATGAATGTTTAATGTACAGTCCGTATGGATAAAGAATGGGATTAATGGCGGCTCATCGAACACGTACCGTCAACATGCACAGTACCAATAACGAAAAACTGCTAATAACAGGTTATCGTTGTAATGGTACATTAATTTTAAAATAACATTTATAACTAGCGACCCGCTACGGCTTCGCCTGGGTGGGATCTATAAATGTGGCGTTATTTGTACTTAAGATAATCATTAAAGACCATTTTTTTATCTTAACTAAATTTCTAATTTAATAAAATCTCTAGATCTAGATTCCATTTATACAAAAACAAAAGTAACAATAATTACTCACGTTCGTCAGTAGCTGACAAATTAACAAACCCGGACTGAATTTTTTGTCACATTAAAGGATAGAGACCCATTTTTTTCTTCTTGTTGGCCTTTTTAACTTTTTGCCTACTGGCAAAAAGTTTAGATACTTCTAAATGATATACTGGTAGAGCCCAATTTACTTAGTGTTCTGCATTATGTTATTGTTGATATGTCGTTTGGAAATATTGGGTAGTATTTAAATGACTACGGTTTTTAACTGAAAGTGTTTCTTATTAATTTTTATATTATACCATTACACATTTGTTTAGTAAAGATGTTGCGTACAACTTCATTGACGATATTATCTCAATGGATCTCTATTTACAATTTCAACTATGTATCTAAAGTTCGAAAGTTTATCGCAAATTGATAGGACTGTAGGGGCTTGATACCAGAAGCTAGTACGTATGTTACGTTATGAAATAAGTACTGGGTAAAGCATAAAAGAAAATTTAATATAAGAAAGTCAATACAACTTCTATGAACCACAGCAACGTTTAGATTAAGTACATACGTTGACTAATAACATTTATATGACTCAATGAGAAATGAGACGATAGAATACCTAATTAGCGTTTATAAATTTAGGAATAACATCCGATATTTTTGGAAATTAATCAAATGAAATGGGAACACCTTAAATTAATTTTATTAAAATAATTTTTATGTGCAAATCGTATGTGGTTTTATCACCTCTAACTGACACGAGCATAAGTAAAGCGGGGTTTTTGGCAATCCTCTTATTCCTCTGATAATGCAGAGGCAATAATACCACATACAATTTGCAAATTACATTTTTTTTATTAAGATCAAATTTTATACTACGCACTTAACGGAAACCACAGGGTTTTTGTTACATGTTGTATATATGTACATATATATATATATATATATATGTACATATATATATATATTGCTTGACCTATATGTACGATGAGTTTTATAATTTAGTTTTCAACCACTTCTAAACAGTTTGAAATTTACAATACATTATACTTTCAACGAGCGTACGAAACTACGAAGCATTTAAATTTATAAAGTATTAAAAAATAAACAACAAGAAATAAACTTTATTTTATGCATGTCACACAACACAGGCTATTTTAAGAGCTATTCGATTACCATTAAACTTACAATCGATCGCAGTATAGAAGCTTCGGATGGCTCCATCTTCCCGCCTGCGATGCTGGACAGGAATACAACTTTATACGTGCTGTATCCTAACCTCTGCCGCCGGCTGCCATTTATTTACGACAGAGATGTTGAGGTAAGAATTTCCATTATTCAAATAATAATTGTAACAAAAAATATTTAAGATTAACGATTCGATAATTCACTTTATGCTATCCACCTAATGTTATGTCACATCTTTTTATATATTGTTATTTTGCAACAACCGGCCAAATTTACATAAAAGGTTCAGATTATGTAATACAGGCAAATGGTAAAAAAATTAATAAAACATATCTCAAACGTTCTGTCATTTTTACGTTTTAAATTCAAAACACGCACACATTGGTAAGGGTCAATCGGTAGGCAAAATCGGATTCATTTTGGGATAATTTCAAATAAAAGTAGAAGCCTTATTTACTCATATTTTAAAAAAACTGAAGTAACGGTATATCATTATTTATATATTTGAACTTAAGTTTAAAATTTGGCTACTCTTTGAAAAATAACTACTACTAAAAACCAGCCTATCTAAAAACCAGCCCGTCCGAAAAAAATCACATTGTTACCGGAATTACTAAAAAAGTGCACATTGTTACAGGAATGACTATTTTTTTTAATTTCTCAAACGTGCATGTTCTTACCACTATGGAGTACACCATCCATTGCTTTATATAACTCAATGACAACATCTAATGAGAGTATACTGTCTATTGTGCGCAGTACCACAGAATAAACAATAGAGCCGTGGTAGCTCAGATGGTTAACGCTCGCTGTAAATATAACAGAACGCGAGTAACCCGGGTTCGATCCCCGCCGGCACCAATGAAATTTTTAATTGCAATTTTAAGTGCTGATTTACCACGTGCTCGGCAGTGCAGGAAAACATCGTGAGGAAACCTGCATGTCTGAGGAATAAGAAACAAAATATTCCGAAGACATGTGAAGTTCGCCAACACGCATTGGGGCAGCGTGGCGGACTCTTCCTTGCCCTAAAAAACCCTCTCAGAAGTGAGGGGAGGCCTGTACCCAGCAGTGGGACGTATATAGGCTGTAACTTTACTTTACTAGCAGTACATTGTATGTTTACATTTAACTAAATAGTTTGTATTAAGTATAGGTAAAATAAACTGCCGGTCAATGCTGTTATTATTTTTGTTTTATTGATACATTCAAAGAACTAATCTGAAATATTTGAAAGAGTCGGTAGTTTATATATGTTATAATCACTTAATAAGCTTTAATAACTACTGTTTAATAAACATATTATATATCCCGTTGATATTGCATTCGTGCCATATCGATTGAGAAAAACGGATGATGACGTCAGATATAAACCGAGTGTCAAAAGCGTAACTTACAAAATATCAATTTAGATGTGATAACAATATTTAAATATTGATATTATTCACACTTCTAGGTCAGCACATATGCAAAACGCGCGTTACGTCAGTTCGTTCTAAAAGAAACGTGACAATGGCAGCCAGAGATGCGTCAATTTTTTTGGGCCGGCCCACATGCACCGAATTAAAATAACGTTCTTATATAATATCGAAAATAAAGTTTTATCTTTTGAATAAGTACATACTTATTCGGTGTCGATATCACTCGAATCTTTATATGTGTTATAAATTAATGCTTTTAGTTGTTAAATGAATAAAGTACTTTATAACAATAGATGATTTTTCTACTACAGCGATCTTTTACATAACTTTTTAATAATAGTTAATAAATATATAATATATCAATCATTATAAAAAATAATAAAAAATCATTACATATAAAGAGAGTACTACATACAAAAAATGCCTATAGTTTGAAGGTTTGTAGCCCCTGGATATACGACCGAAAGGTCATCAGGATTTGGCATGAACTATAGTGTGGTAGAGACGCGCTTCAGCTATATTACCATGAGTTTGCACTACCAATGCTTTACCTTTCAAATAAAACCATATTTAAAATTCCATTTTCTAACAATGTGCCATATTGTGTTTGTACTTTCAAACAACATGTTGAAGTTAAACGTGTTTGACATTTTGTGTATGAAAGATTTCGAAACAAATCATATTAAAAGATCGAGGAGAAAGTTTCTTCGTTATACAATAAGTACGAATTTAGTTTGTATAAAATTAAAGAAAAACCTCTTTGGTTGTACTATTTGTATCTGGCTGGTATTACTATTAATACATATAGGACATTAAAAAAACTAAAAAGTAGGAAACACATTCCCGCCATTTTTAATTTTTTTTTATAGAATAAGGGTGACAAACGAGCACACAGTCCACCTGATTGTAAGTGGATGCTGTGGCCCATAGACATCTACATTTCTCCTCGATTAAGAATCAAAACGCAGATGCGTTGTCACCCCTAAGGATTAAGATGGAATGCCTCGTTTCCAGTAAAAAAGGATCTTCAGATCTCTACACTCACCATACATAGCACAGCAGTACTAAGCTGCTATTTTTCACTGGTATTCTGTGAGCGCATGGTCGAGGCCATAGTAATATAAATAATATAAACCGTAATATAGCTGCAGCGTGACTCAACCACGTATGCAAAAATTGTTTTTCTGTCCGCCAAAATGAGTGAATCTAACGAAGAAATTCGATATATTCTAAGATTTATTACAAAAAAAGGAAAAACGTGACTCAAGTCGCGAAAAAAGTAGTGACGTTTATGGTCCTAATGCAGTCTTTTTTTTTTTTAAGTGGTAGAGCCACGCTGCAGCTATATTATAATTATAACTAGTGTTGCCCAAATGCAAGAACAAGACGAGACTTAGCCAGTCTTGGTCTTGGTCTTGCGCCAATACACCTGGTCTTGTTCTTGGTCTTGCGCCAATACACCTGGTCTTGTTCTTGGTCTTGGTATTGCGCTCTCAGTCTTGTTCTTGGTCTTGGTCTTGCAGCAAGAGTCTCGCAAGTCTCGCAATTACCTATTAGCCTATTGTTATTTATTAAACGTTACTTTAGATCTTAGAACAACTTAAAAGAGTAGGCACATTTTGAGCTTGAATTAACATAGCCATAGAAAGACCAACCAAATTAATAAATGTCTAAACATTTAATGAGAAATTCGAAAAATCAACTAATACCTGGTGGGATCTGAACCCAAGATCTAAGCGATCCGTGCCGATGCTCTAACCAACTGAGCTGTCTACCAAGTCTCACGGCCACGGGAGTTAGTTTCTCTCTGTTTCTTAATAAACATTTACATTTAATAAGCTTACATGTGCTAAAACTTAGTCAAAACATATAAAAAACAAATTAATGACATTAACTTGACTGTATTATAAAGAACATTATCTGTCTAGAAAGAGATTGATAGACCCTTATATGAAATGGAATAAAAGAGCCAAAATAAAATACAATACAAATTAAATTACATAAAGAAAAACTTTGATTACTGTTACTTAATTAATTCTTTTGATCAAGAATTAATACAAAGTAACCATCTGGCTGACTCATCACTTAACCTATTTCTATGTTTTCTAATGATAATGATAATGATGCTTTAGAAAATAATCTCTCAGCAGGTACTGAAGTTGCAGGTATTGAAAGAAAATCACGGGCCATCTTCGATAAAGTCGGATATTCTGTCTCATGCGTCCTCCACCACTCTAAAATGTCTTCCGCACTGGCGGCTCTGGGTTTACTTAGGTACACCTCCAACTCGTCTATAACTAAGCCTTGATGAAAAGATACAGATCCAGATGACGTCGAGGGACATGCATACAATTTCTCAAAGTCTATTACGTCTTCATCTTCATCATATTCACATACTTTCTTTTCATTTCTTGGTGATTCTAGAGATGTATTGCTTGAGTGTAGACTTTTATATTCTTTATAAAGTTCATTAAATTTACGCAGGCTTTCTGTTTTAATTTGCTTCCCTCATAATGTCATGTCAAAAGTCTGAGTCTTATGCCTTGGGTCTAAAATTAAAGAGGTACAATCAATCCAGTTGCTCTTTTTATAACTTTTAAGCATTTTGTCTCGAGCTGCTTGAAAACCCAGAATGAGCCTTTCATCCACTTCGGATCGATTAGGTTTCTCATCTAATTGTTTTACCATGGATTCAATTTTATCAAGCAAGAGATTGAATGATACAATGACTAGCGGTAGTGTAACATATTTTTCTCCACCAAGTTTCGTTGAAAGAAGTTTAAAGTTTATTAGAAACTTATGTATTTTTTCGAGTATTTGCCATTCACTATCTGTGATTTGAAAATCATTCAATTCGGTGACAAAAGTGCACAATATGTTAATGCCAGTTCTCACTTTTAAACCAAATCCAACCATATCATGTGTGGAATTCCATCTCGTTGGACAGTCGAGTATGAGGTTCAGATTTGATGGCACGCCAGCTGCTTCACAAGCAGACTAAACTTCCTCTTCAATATCTCACTTCTTTTTATTTTACTGGAAATGATGCGTAATTTTGTTATAACTGTACGTGAGTCAGCAATATTTGGCGCATATTCTTCATCTTACTCAGTTTCGTCTTCATTATCTTCATACTACTGTTCTTGTCCCTTATTGTCAGTTTCACTGTATAATGCTAAGGTCTTTAATAAATCTTGTACACCAAGGTTCAAAATGTGAGCAAAGCACCGGAAATGTTGATCTACGGATCGATACTTCCATTCGTTGTCTATTATAATGAATAGTGACCCCGTAGTAACTCCTACCAGCAATTGACGTCCATCCATCAATGGTAAATGACATTTTAGATGAAAATTGTTGTAGTCGTTTCTTAAGATTCAATTGAAGCTCTTCAAACCGTTCTTTGACCTTCCTTCTAAGTGTGGAACTTTTAGGAAACAGCATATTTGGGCAAATTGATCGAAAATATACTTGTGTAGCTTCATCATCGAAAAATGAGAAGGGAAGATATTTAACATCCATCACTTAGCTGTCGTGATGTTGTCACTGCTATTTTCAGACTGAAATAAAACAGTAAATCACGTGTCTCGCCGATTATAAAAAAATGAAAATATGAGTGAATTATAAATACATATTTAACACTCTAATCTATATATATATATATATATATATATATATATATATATATATATATAACTACCACTCACTGACT